TTTCCTTCTCTAAATGACTTTCTTGAGGCATGGGTCTTCATACGTGGAAACAAAAAGGAAAAAAAGGACGAAGAAAAGAAATCACCCTGCAGTCATGGAATTCAATCTATGTCTAGTTCCCCAACTGAATTATGAACCACATCTGTTCTCTTCTGTAGTTTCATCAAAAGCCAACTTTCAAACATTTAGCCATTTTATTTTATTTTTATCAAAGCAAAGGTAAATCATAGCTAATCTGAAAAGTTCTTGTGTTTTAGTTTTGATTTATAAGTAAGGAAAGGGGAAAAAAAAGACCGGTTTCTAAGTAACCCTTGACCTTTGAACCACAACCTCCTTGCCACTAAAGCGTTCATCACTTCATTTAATCTCCCCTCTCTGCACTGGCGTAGTGCAGAGAAAAGGAAACGGAAAAAATAATCTGGGGACTTCATCAATTTTTCATGAATTTTCATTTAGGCCAGAACCCCCTCTTACCCTGGTCGATAGATCAAGCTGCTGTCATATATTTACCACCTGGGGCTACAGCTGCCATCTCTAGGCACTGCCACTGACTCAGGCTGCAACACAGGCAGCCACAATCTGCGTGAGGACCCCTGTGCTCCTTCTGCTCCAAACACAGGGAGCCCTGGAGTTCAAACTGAAATCCTATCTGCACCAGCTACGTCTCAGCTCTCTTGGTGGTCCCATTGGAAAACTATGTATTAAATTCTTCAGTGCCAAGTGCCTTACTTGTAGAACCTGCAATTCTGTTTTCTAAATATGTAAAAATCACTTTTTTGCCTAAATACCTTCCTTGAGTTAAAGTGATCTAAAAAGTACATTCTGGATTGCTTTTTTTCCAAACCAAGAGGGGAAAAAAGCAAATATGTGGTAAGTGATTCAAATCTCCACTGCAATGATTGGCTCTGAATAGTTTTTTCCTCAATTATGTTGTTCCGTCACATAAAAGTGAACTCTGTATTTAATAAAACAAAAAGAGAATGAATAGAGTATGATAAAAACAGGCTAACTTCTATACAATCAGTCAAGACAGACGGTTATCAATAAAACTGCTCATATCATATGACAGCAGAAAGCAAGATTGTGGAAATTAAAAATGAAAATCAAAATGAAGATGAGTCAAAAATTCCAGATTTTTTATCAATAATTATTTCACAATAGAAGTTATAACAAGGTTGTTTGCTACTTACCCATACCACCTAGATATTCCTATATACACCTAAATCAATTCTCCACTGATATTGACCGCCCCTGAGTTTTTGAAAGAACAGGCAGCACTTGCCACTCCAACTCCCCACTACCAACTCATTTTTCAGCTGTTGTGCTTTCTTTCCACCCCTAGAGACCACAGATACTTTTTATTTAGACTACCACGTGGCATTTGCATTGCCAGCCACTTTTCCTTTCTTAAAATTATCTCCTTATTTTTCTTGTCACTCCACTTCCCATGTTCTATCACTCCAATACCTCCTCTGAGCCTCCTGAACTAGACTTTCCTTTGCCCAACATTAAATATTCTTTCCAAACAACGGGAGTGATCGCAGCCCTACACACAGCTTGCCTGGACAATCACATCTATGTCTATCTACTCCCCTGGCTTCAACCTCCATCTGGGAAAGACTTCTCAATTCCAGAAGCTCTTATCTTAATGGAATATGGCATATTTTTACCTTGATATTTCATTGGTATGTCAAACAATACAATCAAGCTGACTTCACTTTCCTGTTCTCACTAGAGTTATTTCTCCTGTATCTGCCATCCCTTTGGATGGTATGTATCATAATATACACAGTCACTCCACCAAAAACATCTGGGAATCACCCTCTATTCCCCAAACCAACCATAAAGGGATATAATTTATAATTTCTAAATACGGTTCAAACTATTTCCTTCTTTTAATCCTCACTGCTTTGTTCAGTTCAAAATCTAACATATACTCTTTTCTGAATGATTTGACAGCTTCTTAACTCCACTCAACTTCAATCATCATCCCTTTAACCCTATCTTCAATTTTCTTTCAAAACTGAAAGGAAAGACTCTCCTTTTACATAACAAAAAGTCTAGATTTTATGATTCAGCACATGCCTATCTTTCTAACTTACGCTGCCCACCAACCTCATATCATGCTACCTGCAGCTCTCCAAATACATAGTGTTTTTAGGTTTCCATTCTTTCCTTTAACAAATGAAGAAATGGATATGCCATAATTGAGCAATTATGTTGAGTGTCCTAAAATATGAAGGCCGGACATTTATATGACCCACAGTGGTTCCTATCACTTTATAAAAATACACCTTGGTTACCAATAGGATTGACAAATCACAATGCTTTGACCTAAATTTCCATATTAACACATTTTATGAAACACATAAGGAAATGGAGAAGACTGATGAGCTAATGCGAAAGGGATGAGCAACATATAAATGGGTATTATTTGATCTTTTGTTGCCTCAAATGGCATGAACTGTTGACAGGGCATTAGAAGAAAGAATTTTATTCACTAGCTAAATCCAATTTAGAACTCTTCTTGTTCTCCTCTCTAGGTCAGAAGTATTTTTTAGCAGTTCTCAAAGCTCATTGATTTAAAAATAAAGAAAACTGTAACTGTCATAGTACATTGAAAAAAAAAAATCGTGGTTTAAAATTTTCCCTCTAAAACAGTTTGATTAATTATTAATGATGCAATCAAGAAAGAGAGAAATCCTTTATGTTAAATAAAAGTACAAGATACATATGTGTTGGGAGCAATTTTAACAATGCTAAGGATCAGAATAAAGATAGGTTTATAGCTGTCTAACAATAAAATGACTGGCCAATTTAGATAAACTTTAATATTGAGAAGAAAGTTAGTGAAGGATTAAAAATAGTTATTTGCTTAAAATAAATAAGCTACAAAGATATATATGGTACAACACAGGGAATTTAGTCAATATTTTATAATAACTATAAATGGAATTTAACCTTTAAAAATTGTGAATCACTAGGTTGTGCACTTGAAACGGATATAATATTATACAACAGCTATACCTCAATTTAAAACATAAAAAAAGTTATTTGCTGCTGAGTGGATAAAAGAAAAACTTGTAATTAAAAGTTCTTTATTTTTATTTATATAAGATGAGCCTGGTTTCATTTGAGTGTCTTTCAAAATATGGTACAATTCTCTCAAACTGAAAATTAGAACAATCATGGTCTGATCTTGAATTTCCCATTAATTTATTGCCTTAGTCTTGGTCACCTAACCATCATGGGTTTCATTTTATCTATAAAAGGAAAGAATAATGCATGTTATATTTACTGTAAAGGGATCTGGTGGGGAAAACAATCAATAGAATTGACATTGAAATATTTCAGTGTGTTTGAAATGTTCCAGAAATAAGATATTTCAAAATAAAAATGGACAGTTAGCAATATTTGCATTCTTGAGGTTCTGTGTGTATATTTCAAATCTCACTAAACTGCATTTAATCTAACTGCTTTTTGAAGTAAGTTATAAAAATGAAATTACCTAGCAACTGGTGCAAAATGGCATTGCTAGCAAAAGTTCTAATGCTTATATCTCAAAGTACTTCACAAAATAAATTTCTCAAAGCTCATTGATTTAAAAATTTGGGTTTTCGGATTCCTGTAGTCTTTTCCTATTGGATTTACACATTTCAAGCAAGGACTGGGTTCCAGATTTCCTGGTACAAAGCATAAATCAAAAGACTGGATGCGTAAAAGCAAAAGCTTTCATTGTGATAGCTGAATAAGAAATTGTATGATTCTGTTTACTAAAAGATGTTTTCATGTATAAAGGTAATGATACACCGTGAGAATTTCAATACACATATACACAAGTTTTATAATTTAGTGTGATACCATATAGCATGTGAGTATAAGTATCAAACTTAATTGCAGACATGAGACCATGAACTATTATCCAGCACTCTCATCCCAGCTATAAAAAGAAGACTCATGCATCCTGAAATATTTCAGTTCTCTTACCTATGAACACCTACTGGTACAAGCAGAAAGTTGAAGAGCACAAACTTTTTTAAAGCTCAGCTATTGCCACATCTTATTCACAAATAATTCTTGATAAAGTATTCCTTCAAAATAGGGAATACCAAAATAATTATGACACCAAATCCTCACTTATAAACCAGAAAACAAATCTAACATATTTTGAAATTTGTTCTGGAAAACCATCCAGAAAAACAAAGCTATGGACTCAATGATCAAATAGATGCAAAGCCTTGATGCCTCGATTTCCTAGTGCTATTTGGGCTACCTGATTAATAAATAAATATATTTTTAAGTGGCAAAGGCAGGACAAATCCTTAGGTACTGCTGATTACCAAAACTGAGTGAGACCTTCCTCTATAGGCACATTTTGTCCCTAAACAGAAATCAGCTCTCTTCTCTGATGAATTTTTTGATAAAAAAATATAGTTGCTGCTGTTGGTATATTTCCCCCTGCATGCCTAGGGTAATGATCCCTGAATTTAGCCTGGAAGTAAAAGAGTTAATATAACCTAAAGGGTATATTCTTTTTAAAGTTGCCCAATAAAAGTTAGATTTAAAAAATATATACATGTATATATAATATATTAGTTATATATAAATAGGTAACAGGAATAGGTACAATAATGAATTTATACCTTGTATTTGATCCCATGTTACACATAAACTTTTTATTTTAACATCACCAACCTTAATATTTTATTATATCTCTCATTAATAATTCAAATTTTAAATACGACTAGCATCATCGCCACCTTGCTTTAATATAATATCCTAATACCCACATTGCTTCAATATAAGTAAATTTATTGCAACACCTTGGCTATACATTATTTTGACGAGCTTTCTTTGGAGAAGGCAAAGTAAAATTATGCAGAGAGTATTGATTGTTTTATTCTATAGGTATTAAGCATCTACGAGAACAAATCAAAGCTTATTAAAAAAAATCAAAGTAAAAGTGCACGCCATTTATGAGATTCATTACGTTTACTTACATGCCACTTCCAGAGATGCATTTCGACTCACTGCTTCACCAAGATAGTTCCTTGCAACACACACGTAGCTTCCTTCATCAGGTTTACTTCTGCGCCCGTGCACAATGCGCAAGAAGAATAAGGAACCGCTGGGCAGAAGCATCCTGTGGGACCGGGGATCATCCTTGTCAGTCTCCACCCGCTCGCCATCCCTGTACCACTCAATGGTGGGCGTTGGCCGGCCCTCGGCCTTGCAGTTCAACGTGGTGGGCTCTCCCTTAGAGACAATGACATCGGAAGGGTGCTCCACAATCCGCGGGGGAAAGTCTTCCTGGCGAAGACGAGATCCTACAAAATGTGACAGAATGAAGACAAGCTTTAACATTCCTTATCTATAGCTTTTGTTTCACTTAGGTTCACACTGATAAAATTAAACTATTCAATCATTCAAACTGCACTTACTACTATTTTATTTATGTTTCAGTTTTTTGTTCTTTATGCATCTCGTAAGTCATTCCAAGTCCCTTTTGGAACAAGACAATACAGCAGTAAATTAATGTTAATTCTAATGAGTTAGTTTTAACATGTTCCATGAGTCAGGACAAATAAAAATAAGCATGAAATTTTCTTTTGGAACCAGTAAGTTGCAATGGGTACTAAGATGAGTAAGGTTAATTTCCTGTCTTCAAAGTGCTTACTATGTACTAGGGGAGAAAGCCAAGTGCTTACAAGTGTACTAGGGGAGAAAGCCAAGTGCCTAAAATACACACACAGAAAACATCTATCATGCTGGCATTGTGCTATCAGAGTCAACACAAAAAAAGACCTGAACATTATGTACAAATAGTAACTCAATTTAACAGATGAGGAAAACGTTTAATGACATATATTGTCCAGGACTGTGGAAGAAGTTAAGCAGTAGAGGCAGGATTTGAATCCAGGTATGTCTGACTGAGGAACTCAGGTTAAATCACTATGTTGAAATAAGTGTTGCACGGAGGTCCAAGAAATGTATTACAGGAAAAGATGAGGAAAAGTAATGTCAACTCTAACTAGAGCACAGTGAGAGGCTTCCCCCAGAAAGGTAGCATTTAAATTGAGTTGTAAAGAATGAAAATAATATGTCAACAGAAGGAGAAAGACATTCAGAATGAAGAAACAGCATGAGCAAAAGGACAGAGAAATGACAGTATATGTATAAAACATTTCATAATCAGGGAGGAAGTTAACGTGGCAGGTGAGGGTAAAAGGCAGTCTTGTAGCCGGAGACAAAGGGCTTAAAATACCATGCTAAGGAGTGTGACTTTCATTCCATATGGCTAACTGATTTTGAGGGAGCAGTGATATGACCATCTGTGTATTAGAAAGGTTCTTTTGGTCTGTACAGTAAAAGATAGATAGCGATGGAGGCAAAAAAGACAGGTGAGAGTTACTTCTATATCCCAGAGAACAATAAAAAGAACCTGGCCTTGAAACACTTAAGGTAGAAAAAAGAAGGAAGATATAAGTTATACAGTAAAATAAACACTTGACAGAATTTGGTATTCCATACAGTAAGGAAGAGTGACAGGTACCAATAACTTTCCTGTGGCTACAATGAAAATGGGGCCATTAAAAGTTAGAAGAAATAGGAAGAGAAGGACCTGTTTGGTATTTTAAGATGAAAATTCTGCATAATGTACTGTTTTGAATATTTTAATTTATGAAGTGTCAGAAGCCATTACTTGTGGAAAGGTCCTACCAGCTGCTGCAAATAATTCTAAAGGGGACGGCTGAGAGAACTCTGTCTGGAGACATAATGATAATCTACATACGAGCTTTTAAAAGCTCTTACAATTTTCCAACCAATCACCCAATATTGGCACATTTCTGTTCAATAAACCGAAGTATATTTACTCATCAATGTTATTCCAGTTAACTTTCAATATTAATTTAAAATTTGTATTTGAATTTAATAAAGGGAATTTAATTTGGTAGTGAATGAACCTTTTCTGAAGAGGATTAACTTTTAAAGGTTGCTGATTACCATTTGTTAGCTCATCAGATGCAAGAAGGAACTTATACATTACAAGTGCTAGGCACCTAAAGCTACAGTAATTTACACTACACAGGTCAAAATTTTAAGAAAAGAACTAAAGAGACCCAAAGCATTTAAATATGGACAGAAAATCACAACCTGCATCACAATAATAAAGAAGGTTATATATTGTAAGTACTGAGGCCCTAACACAAATGAGGAATTTATAGAATATAAAAAGTAAGAATTATTTTTAAAAGCTATAAATAAGATCCCAAGTACTTAAATATGAATAACTAATCATAGCTTGCAAATCAGCAGCATATTCCCAAATGTAAAGGTCTGGACACATAGCCATAGAATACTAAAATGCACCGCGAGTTATATGTCACTTTTCATGTAACAGACATACGGTAGCCACAATCATCTTTTTTGGATACCTTCCTTGCTCTTCTCTAATCTTCCATATGCAATCATCTACATTCTCCCTAATGCCAAAGTTGTTCTATTATTAAAACTAAGCAAGTTAACTGTCCATGTTTTTAGAGTGCTCTTTTCTACATCAAAAAGTTCTCTGCCTTATTAGGCAGTTTGGCCTGAATAAGGCCTGAACAGGACCTGAAACACACTAACACTTATTAAATAAAATATAAAATAATAGACTAATAAGAGAATTAGATGGAAAACATCTAAACTATTTAGCAATAAGATTTAGAATCTAGCATGCCCAATAGCACTCAGAGAATTTTACTCATTTATCACTATAACATATGTAAACTACTCTAGTGCTGTTGCATTTGGATATTCTTGTAGTAGCCTTACTCTGCTGTTATAAAAAATTCATAAGAATATCTACAACCTAAATGTAAGAGGTAAAATTATCAAACAATTAAAAGAAATTACAGGAGCATATCTTTATGATCTTGAGTTAGTCAAAACCTTCATGAATATGACACCAAAATCACATGCAACAAATATATTTGTTCTTGAAAAAAACATTAGAAAAGGAAAAACAACCCATAAAATCAGAAAAAAATTGCAAATCATATATCTGATAGAGGACTTACATCTAGAACATATAAAGAACCCTTACAACTAAATAAAAGTACAAATAACCGAATTTAAAAATGGGCCAAGGATTTGAATAGACATTTATCCAAAAAAGTTAGACAATAGGTCAGTAAGCACATGAAAAGATTCTCAACATCATGAGCTATCAGGAAAATGCAAATCAAGACCACGAGATATACTTCACATCCACTAGGATGGCAATCATCCAAAAAGTGTAAAGTAACAAGTATTGTCTGGGACGTTGAAAAATTGAGAGCCTCATACATTGCTGGTGGGAATGTAAAATGGTACAGCCACTTTGGAAAACTATCTGGAGTTCCTCAAAAAGTTTTGGAATTAACATATGACCCAGGGATTCCACTGCCTGGTATATACCCAAGAGAAATGAAATCTTATGTCCCCACAAAAACTGTAACATTGATAGCAGCATTATTCATAATAATTTTTTTAATGGAAAGAACCCAAATGTCCATTAACTGATGAATGCATAAATGAATGTTATATATCCACATAATGGAATATTATTCAGCAATAAAAACGAATGAGGTACCGATACACACTATAACATAAGTGAACACTGAAAATATTATGCTAAGTGAAAGAAGCTAGTCACAAAATGATTCCACTTACATAGAAATGTCCAGAATAGTTAAATTCATAGACACAAAAATAGATTTTCAGTTGTCTAGGGTAGGTAATGGGGGTGAGAGGTGAAGGGGGACTGGAGAATCTTTTGGGGGTGATGAAAATATTTTAAAATTATTTATGGTGATGGTTGGACAACCCCATGGAAATCATAAAAACTGTTACAGTGTACACTTTAAATGAGTAAAGCATGTATGAATTATATCTCAATAAAGTAGTTTTTAAAAAGTCATAAGTAAAGGCACTGTGAACAAATTTAATACAAGGCATTGTAACAATTCATGTTCATTCCGACCAATAGTTAGGTTATTTTCCTCATTCATAGTTTTAAGTTTAAATGTAATCATCAGGCCAGCAACGGCCAATAGGGCATAAAATAAAGTTAACAGGTTGTACCAGTCAGACAGATGATTGATAGTCATATAGGTAGGTAGATAGATAGATAGATAGATAATAGAATGATATGGAGATATGCAAAAACATAGCAGCAATCTAAATTTTAAGATGTTATTAAAAGTGAGGGAATTAATTTTGAACTCCCTTAAATTCAGACATTACACAACTATAGCAGTGACCCTTAAGATGGGTAAGCCTTAGATAGGTTCGTGAATTCTTTGAAATTGTGTATAAAAATGGGTATTCTTGTGTGGACAGGAGGGAGCAGTAGCAAGAGGGGCTACAGATTTCATCAAATTTCCAAAGAGGTCTGAGGCTTTAAAATTATGAAGGGCCACTAAAGTACCAGGATCAAAACAACCCCATTATTTGGTTAAAAAACAAAAACAAAAAAGATAGCTGAGTTGTCAGCCAAAGTCACTGGGGATTCAAAACCCAACAAACAGTAGAGGGGGCTGTTCATCACATGAAGAGACATGAAACAGTTTAACTTCAAAAGCTTCGATATCCAAGGGCAAATAAGAAATACAGGGTCCCCAGCCCAACCCCAGAGCTACAGAATCAGAATCCGCATCTTAAAAAGATTCCCTGGCAATGCATATGTGCATTAAAGTTTGAGAAGCACTGCTTTAAACAGTTTTAGTATGACCTTGAGCTAAGGATGGTTTAACATTTTTAGCATGCTGTTAAAAAAAGAGGAGGAAGAAGGATAAAAGCAGCAGAAGGTGAAGGAAGAATGAGACTGTATACTGTCCACAAAGCTTGAAATACTGTAATCTGATCCTCTGCAGAAAAAGTCTGCCAATCCTGCTCTAGAGCACCTGTTTATCAATTTCCATTAATAACTTTATTTTTTTTATATAGGACCATAGAACTTTTTTCTCCAGATTTCAGATGAAAAAATACGTCAACAGCAGGAAAATAATATTTTGCTCATGTAATGGGAAATATTCAGGATCTCTATTTGGTCAGATGCGCTAAGCACTGTTTCAGAATTACTACCTGCAATTCTAACTTTGCTTGCAGCTAATAGCAAGTTTGGACATCATTTTATGCCTCAATTATGAATTGTGCAATCAAATAGTCAAGTTTAATCTAAAACATTTTATTCAACTGTCTTTAGCTATTATAAAGAAACAATGTAACTTAGTCATAGGGTACTATAGGTGAATATCCAAATGTTTATTTTTACTGTCCAAGAAAGTAAGCTATAAAATAG